CTGTGAGAATCAGCTGTGTCTGCAGTGGGAGAACTTCTGTGCTGGAGACACCCTTATGGGGCAAGACTTGCTTCAGTGGGGCTTTGGTGCTCACTGCGTCTGCCCCCTGAGTATGTCCCTTATGGATTTGAGGAGTTGTAATCTGATGGTCCCACTCTGTCCCCTGCGAGGCCTCTGGCACTGCTCTCCTCTAAGCCTTTCGACCTTGGCACTCAGGACTCCCTTTCTCCTCCTTAACCCAGTAATGAAGCTGTATTCTGTTTCATGACAATTTTATTTTCTCTTTCTTTCCTGGAGTGTCTGTGCAGTTAGTAGCTAATGCAAAATAGACAAGTAATGCACCTCCCTCTTTCTTTTCTTCCTTCTCCATCCAGGTCCTGGTACAGCCTCAGATCATCAAGACAGATTCCCTTGTTCTGACCACACTGAAAACAGATGGCAGCCCTGTCATGGCCACAGTCCAGAACCCAGCCCTCACCGCCCTCACCACCCCCATTCAGACAGCCGCCCTGCAAGTACCAGTAAGAGCCACCTCCACACCCCACACCCCTCTCGCCCTCTCCCTTCTGCCTCCTTTCTGGGAGGGGTTAGCCTCTGTGTGAGTAGGTACAGGAGCCATTCGCCTCTCAGGCCCTGCTGAGGGAGGTTGGACCCTAGACCCACTAGGCAGGGAGGGCTCCAAGGTGAGGGACATGGAAGGCATCCGTCCTTCAGTTGTAGGGTTTCAGCCACTTTGAGCATCTTAGCAAGAGAGTCTGACAGAGTCAAAGGTGGTCAGGATTTGAAAGCAAGCTTTATTCATAAAAGCCAAGAACTGGAAGCAACCCAAATGCCCGTCCAAAAAGAACTATTGATACATGAGTTCGTGACTGAACCTCATGCTGTATGTTGAGCAAAAGATGCCTTCAAGAAAGAGCTCGTGCTAATGACTCCACTTATGTGAAGTTCAGGGAGAGTCGGAGCAGATCACAGGAGGAAGGGGCGGGCGTTACTGGGAAGAGGCATGAGGGAACTTTTAGGGCAGCGGTTCTCAACCTGTAGGTCGCGGCCCCTTTGGGGGTTGAACGACCCTTTTCACAGGAGTCGCCTAAGACCATCAGAAAACACATATATAATTACACATTGTTTTTGTGGTTAATCACTATGCTTTAATTATGTTCAATTTATAACAATGAAAATACATCCTGCATATCAGATATTTACATTACAATTTGTAACAGTAGCAACATTACAGTTATGAAGTAGCAACGAAAATAATTTTATGGTTGGGGGTCACCACAACATAAGGAACTGTATTAAAGGGTCGCAGCATTAGGAAGGTTGAGAACCACTGTTTTGTTTTGATCTGGGTTATCATACATAACAATTGAAGCTGTACACTTAAAATGTGTGTTTCTTATTATTATGTGCAAATTATTTCTTGGTAACTAATGAAGTTGAGCAGCTTTCTATTTGTGCCTTGGTCATTTGGATATTTGAGGCCATTTATTGGACAAAATAAAACTAAATTAGTAAAAATAGAAACAGGAGAAAGAAGATTTGAGGGGGTAAACAGGGAGCCCCTATGATTGGCCTATTTATTTAATAAATTGGCTCTGATGAGAGTGTCAGTCCTACCCTTGAGCTTTTTGATAGCCAGACTGTATAAGGAAAGGCAGTAAGTTGCTTAACTGTCATGTGACGGGGGACACGTGTCTTATCCTGGGAGAAGGTTTCCCCTGGGGCCAGAGCGATGTGCTGTATGTGAGCTCAACTCAGGAATGGTTAATGGTTTGACAGCAAAGCAGAAATCATATGACTTGTTCCTGGACCCCCTAGATCCAAGGATAAGACACGTTTATCCGCTTTGATCCTGTTGAAGTGTTTTTATGGACAGTGATTCTGAAAGAGGCATAGCTACTGAGGTACCATCGCTCCTCAGGCTGCTTGGGGCCTGACAACCCAGAAAGGGTCTTAGGCCACAGGAAGCATTGCCGGGTGATGGCACATGGACAGGCTACAGGTTTGTCTTGTGAGGTTGCTTTACTCAGACTAACCGAGGGGGAATTCTGCCCTGTGTCTGTGCCTGTTCTAGACCCTGGTGGGCAGCAGTGGGACCATTCTGACCACAATGCCTGTGATGATGGGGCAAGAGAAAGTGCCCATTAAGCAGGTACCCGGGGGAGTCAAGCAGCTTGAACCCCCCAAAGAAGGAGAAAGACGGACGACACACAACATCATTGAGAAGCGGTATCGCTCCTCCATCAATGACAAAATCATCGAGTTGAAGGACTTGGTCATGGGGACAGATGCCAAGGTAGGTGCCAAGCAAATGGTGTTTCGTGCCCTTCCATCTCCCCTCTACATGTTGTTGCCTCGGAAATTTAGGAATCTACAGGCCCACGATGAGTGAATGCAAATTGGGTGCTTTCTTATGAAAGCATGTAGGGTTTTTAAGATGACAGAATGTTAGTCAGCATAAGGGGACGGCCGGGGGTTGGTAAGCAGTGCTCTTCCTGGACCTTTGACTCTGCTCTGCAGTGATCGTGGGCCCCAGAGTCACAGGCAGAGAAGCACCTGCCACTCACTGGGGGCCAGGCACACAGCTGTGTACCTTGACATCAGCTGATGGCATTGCTGTCCTATGTTTAATTGTGCTCAGGGCGGCTAGCAGTATTTTTACCTGCTAGGGATGAGAGAAACTGGAATTGGGTCTGGGATCAACAGTAAATAGAAGAAATTGATCTTTTATATATTTCTAATGTTGCAATGAATGTATCTCTGGCACATAGACTTATTTGATTATTTTCACTTCTATTTTTTAAAGAAAATTTGAGCCCTAGCCGGTTTGGCTCAGTGAATAGAGCATCAGCCTGTGGACTGAAGAGTCCCAGGTTTGATCCCTGTCAAGGGCACATGCCCAGGTCCAGGTTGCAGGCTCGATTCCCCAGTGGGGGGTGTGCAGGAGGCAGCCAATCAATGATTCTCTCTCATCATTGATGTTTCTTTCTCTCCTTCCCTCTCCTTTCCTCTCTGAAATCAATAAAAATATTTTTTTTAAAAAAATTGATTTCCCTTTGTAGCCTACAAATCTGAAAGGTACCTAATATACCTTTACTTAAAATAACCATCCAATAGTGTTCTGGTTTTTTGTCATTTGTTTTCTTTTAAGTTTTTTTTTTTATGTCGGTATTATTATAGGAAGTTGTCATACAGCTAAAAGTATTTTTCGAGTGTCTATGTGCCAGGCTGGGAGCTAAGCTCTTTCTGTGTATTATCTCATTTAGCCCTCACTGCAAGCCTATGATTTATATAATCATCATTATCCCCTTTATAAGGAGGGGAAAGCGCACCTTGTCCTGATAGCAGAGCTAATCAGTGGGGGAGCCAGCACCTGAACTCAGCCCTCCCGCTCCAGAGCCGTGCTGTCACTCCACCAGCTCGGGGCCTCTGCCCTCCTCACTGCAGCCTGCGCTCTGCCACTGTTCTCACCCATCCCCTTCTAGATGCACAAGTCTGGCGTTTTGAGGAAGGCCATCGACTACATCAAATACTTGCAGCAGGTCAATCACAAACTGCGCCAGGAGAACATGGTGCTGAAGCTGGCGAGTCAGAAGAACAGTGAGTGTGCTCATTGAGAGAACAGCTGTAGGCGAGGTTGCAGGAGAAGTCCTGTGCCAGGTGCCCGGGAGGGCCCGTTGATGCGGAAGAGGTGCCTCCGGGGGTGGAGCAGGAGTGGGGCCATCCCCCTCATCTAGCCCAGCCCAGCCCCTTGCCCAGCCCAGGTGGGGCTCTATAGAACAGCCCGTTTGCCAGGTCGGGTTTTCTTTGCAGAGCTCCTGAAGGGCATCGACCTAGGCAGCCTCGTGGACAGTGATGTGGACCTGAAGATGGATGACTTCAATCAGAATGTGCTTCTGATGTCCCCTCCGGCCTCTGACTCGGGGTCCCCGGCCGGCTTCTCCCCCTACTCCATCGACTCTGAGCCCGGAAGCCCTCTGTTAGATGAGGCAAAGGTATGAGCTTTCGAAACCTTCCAACCTCTGGATCTCTCCCATCTCTCCAAAGTTAATAGTGGGTGGGGAGTGGAGGGACACAGACAGGTACCTGGGCTGGGACGGAGCAGGAATTCTATGAAATTAGCCAGCTTTTGGAGAATAAAGAAAGAGAAAACTGACACGCAGTGTGGGGGGACGACACAGTCGGGGTCTTTAAGTGGTTCGGCGTAGTCTGCTTGAACCGGTCTTTGCTGAAACGGCCCATCAGAGAGGAATGAGGGCCAGATCCAGAGCGGAAACAGCAGCTGTCATGCGGGCGTGAGGCATTGCTAGAGGCGCCTCATTACTTCCCTGCCGTAATGGGCCTGGCAAGACCACTTTGTGAGGTTCATCAGCTGCTTTAGGATGAGGCTGCCTCTGGGCCCTCGTCCAGAAATGATTACAGTTGTGCAGTCTAACAAATAGCTTCAAACCAGGGCCCTTTCATAGACCAAGAAAGCCCCCAGCAACTGCTGTTTAATGGGATTGGTTAAAAGAAGCCCGAGCCTAGCGCTTGGTCTTCCTGGGAACCCGTGGCAGCCACTGGGTCTGCACCGTGTGCTGACGATGGCGCTTTCTGACTCTGAGAACACAGTTCCCTGCCAAGATCCGTTTCAAACTTCGCATAGTATCACATACTTCATCTTATTAAGGAAGCTCTATTTTTTAAATGTTTTATAAATGTGATTCTGTTTGATAACAAAAGGCCATATGATGTATACATGAAATTAGTTACGTATCTCAACATAAGAAATTTTCAAATGACTTTAAAATATTGAAATGAGTGGCATGGTACATGCACATTGGGAGTTGAGAGATTCGACCCAGCCTCCCTCCCTTTCTGGGGGTGCCAGGTGGGCCAGGCCTCTGCCTCCAGTTCTCCTTCTGTAAAATGGGGAAGGGAAAAAGGCAACGTTGTGGTTTCAAAATAGGCAAGCTCCTGTACCTAGATCCATGCTGAAGTATTATCTGTAACCAACGCTATTGCAGTATAACTTATGTGTGATAAAGTGCACCTATTTCACAATATTGCACGGTATTCCCAGATATACACACTATGACACCATAATCAAGATGCAGAACATTTTCATCACCCACGAAGCTCTTTGTACAGGTAGTTCACACCCCTCTCCAGCTCGGGCGGCTCCGAGCTCTGCCATTTGACTAGTCTTGCCTGCTGTGGACCTACACAGGAACCGCCGTGCAGTGCTCTGTTGAGAGAGCTCTTTTTGAAAAGCACAGCTCATCTGCCTTCTGTCTTTAGAACATGCTGTTGCGCAGGTGGCAAGAGGGCAAGTGCCGGAGGGTTGAGCGGCAGCTTCCTCCTGGCTTTACTCCTGTCTGGCTCAGTGGTCTTGAATGTAAATCTCACAACCTGATTCTGATCCACATAAAAGTAAAATGCTGTGAAAACCCAGGCAGCACTCATTCACTCTAACCTCGTGGCCCTGTGTTGAAGGTCAAAGATGAGCCGGACTCTCCTCCCATGGCGCTGGGCATGGTGGACCGCTCTCGAATCCTGCTGTGTTTCCTCACCTTCCTGTGCCTGTCCTTTAACCCCCTGACCACCCTGCTGCGGTGGGGAGGGGCCCACGACCCTGACCTGCACCCATCCTCGGGCTCTGGCCGCAGCGTGCTGTCACTGGAGTCAGGTGGGTGGAGGCCCCCTTGTGCCACCGCATGAGTGGGCTGTTGTGGGGCAGAGTGCTCGCCTGCTCACCAGGTCCCAGCGGGCTTCGGCGGTGAATCTCGGCTGCTTGCTTCTGGTAGGGGCTGGCATAAGTTACTGGCAATTTGCAAGTAGCAGCAAACCTGAGTTCAGTCAGAAAGAGCAGAACAAACTGGGAGCCCACACTGCTCCAATTCCCCAGGCACAGGATTGGGAGGAGGCCTATTAAAAACATATATTTTTATTGATTTCAGATAGGAAGGGAGAGAGAAACATCAATGATGAGAGAGAATCATTGATCAGCTGCCTCCTGCACGTCCCTTACTGGGGATCAAGCCCACAACTCAGGCATGTGTGGGAAGTCCATGACCTCCTGGTTCATAGGTCAGTGCTCAGCCATGGAGCCACAATGGCCGGACCGGGGGAGGCGAGGTAGGGGGGCTACTTGAATAAGGACGTGGTGTTTTTCCTAAGTCATGAAACGAGTGGCCTAACCCCCTTGGCTAACTAAGATTTTTGTGGCGCTCAACTCCATAGTGACAGGGATTACAAGGTTGCTGTTTAGGCTCTAGAATTGTCTCATATTTTCCTATTGTGTGGAGCATTGCTATCCTAAGCACTGAGACACTGTTAATAATGAAGCGGTCTTGTTAGCTGCCCAAAGACAATGCTAGGGGCCAGGCAGGCGCCCTGCAGCCCAGGGCTGCTCCAGGGCCTTCCTTGCAGCCTGACTGAGGTGCTGCTCTCTAGGTTCTGGGGGCTGGTTTGACTGGATGATGCCAACGCTCCTCTTGTGGCTGGTCAATGGAGTGATTGTCCTGAGCGTCTTTGTGAAGCTGCTGGTCCATGGGGAGCCAGTGATCCGGCCACATTCGCGCTCCTCCGTCACCTTCTGGAGGCACCGGAAGCAGGCAGACCTGGACCTGGCCAGGGTGAGTTCCACCCTTCTTCCCCTTCCCCCGGGCTGAGCCAGTAACTTAGCAATTTGTATGAATACCCCAGTGAACACGTCCTGTGGCAGGTGCTCGCAGGGGAAGGTGGCCCGGGTGTTGAGAGGACGAAGGGACCCTGCCCCTGACTGTCACACAGTGGAGCAGAGGCACGTATGCATAAATAGTTCCACGGACACGAGATGACAGGAAGACTAAAGTGCTGTGGGAGTTTGGGGCAGAGGCGTCTGGCTGAGGAATCTGGGGCTTGAGCAGAGCGGTCAAGCGCAGGAAGGACCGGCTAGCCAGAGAGGAAGGCATGCCTCCATGGACATTTGGGGACCTGCAAGTGGATGGGTGTACCTGGAGCGTAGGGCATGTCAGGAGAGAAGCTGAGGCTGGGAGGTCTTCGACTAGTAACTGTTTGGGGCTTTTCCCCCCAGTTCTGTGGAGAACCAGGAAGATTTCTAGCAGGAAAATTAGCTGAAAGTTTTGTTTTGAAATCAGCACAAGAGCGTTTATAGGCAGGATTCTGGGGAACTCAGCCCTGAGGGAAGAGGTAAACATCCCTGTCTTGGGAAGCCCAGGAACCAGAGCAGAAAGCCTCGGCCTGTGCCTCCGTGGCTCCCGGGACACGGCTATGGTGCCGTGGGCCCTCCCCCTGCAGTGGGGCTCTTCCCGGAGAACAGAACCCAGGATGTGTGTCCTGGAGGCAGGTGCTGTCTGTGCGTAGAATGCGACTGGCGGCTGGGTGAAGGGTGGGTTAGAGGAGGGCGACACATGCACAGGAGCAGGTAGGGAGAGTGGCAAGGACCTGAAGTGAAAGGAGAGGCATGTCGAGGAATTTCACATGTAACATGGAAAGGAAGTGACAGTGACATGGACTCAAAGATGGGGCTCCAAGCCGCGATGTTGGGAAGTGCCGTGAGAGGGCCCTGTGGCCACGGGGCTGAGGCCGGTCGGACAGAGTGTGTCGGAAGCTCTGCACCTGCTGGGAGGGTGCCTGCGAGAGTGGGAAGAACCAAAGTCTGAGCCTTGAGAACAGCCAACTTTCCTGGGGAAGTCAGGGAAGAGGAGCCATGGGCACAAGGAAAGGCACCTCCTTTAGAATCTGTAAATGCAGGGGCTTCTTCTGGCTGGAAAGCTGCCATCGCCACCTTAGAGATTGTCACTCTTGGAGCACTGTCACCCACTTTCCCTGTGATAGCTCTGGTCCTGTAGTGAGGCAGGAAGACAAGCATGGGTTTCCTACTCACTGCATGACGTGGGAAAGGACAGGAGAGGTTACCTCAGTTTCCCAAGATGGGAGCCTGAGTCTTCGAACCGCCAGTGTCAAGAAAACAGCGAGAAAGCAGGCTTCAGTTCAGGACCATAGACGCTCTGAGGTTGGCAGAGTAGTTCATCCCCATCCTTCGTTAGAGTGGTTCAGCTGGGGATTTGCTAAAACTGTGGTTCTCTGGTTCGGTGGGTCTGGGAGGGTGGGAGTAGGACAGACAGAATTTGCCTAACAAGGTCCCAGGGGCTGATGCTGCTGGTCTTTAGGGACCACACTTTGAGAACCTAAAAGATAACATGAGTCATCATCTAAACCCATGTTGTCATCTTATGTATAAAAGTACTGTGGGAAACTCTGAAGATTATTTGCTCAAAGATAGAACACAGTTCAATCTCAATTTAGTAAAAATATCAGTAGTCATTCTTTCTATGGGATAAGATTACAAATGATTTCCTTTTTTTCTGATTTTTTAGCTTTCTGAATTTTCCCAGATTTTTTTCAGTGAGCATGTATCACCCTGATAACCTGGAGAATGAAAGGAGAGCGGGAAATGTTATTAAAACCAAAAGGCCACAGTAAGACCTGTGAACGTGACCCCTTCTTGCTGCTTTCTAGGGGGATTTTGCGGCGGCTGCTGCCAACCTACAAACCTGCCTGTCGGTGTTGGGCCGGGCGCTGCCCACCTCCCGCCTAGACCTGGCCTGCAGCCTCTCCTGGAACGTGATCCGCTACAGCCTGCAGAAGCTGCGCCTGGTGCGCTGGCTGCTCAAGAAGGTCTTCCAGTGCCGGCGCGCCACCCCGGCCACCGCAGCGGGCCTGGTGGACGAGGCCAAGGCCAGTGCCCGGGACGCCGCCCTGGCCTACCACAGGCTACACCAGCTGCACATCACAGGTGAGCACCACGCCGTGCCCTGCGCTATCTCCACCCTCGCTTGGTTTGCCAGTGTCCCGCCTCAGTCGCCGCCCCTTGTACACTGCTCTGTTAGATGGTTGGACAGACCTCCCGCCCGCAGCCACAGCTGTGAGGATGCTCAGTACCGTAGGGCATCAGTTTAAGGCACACACATTTTTTCTCATTATCATCTCCAATTGGGGCTGTGTCCTCTACACAGTGGCATGCCATGTGCCATGGTTGTGTTGGCAGTGTTTTTTCCTTAGTGGTACCTAAATTAATGGGGAAACTTAAAAGTGATGGTATCTTAGATTCAATGAAATATGGTCATTTATTTCACGCAACAAACTCCTGTTGTAACAGAGAGCCAGGCAGGCAGGTCAGCAAGTGGATGGCAGCTCAGTGTGGTGGAGGGAGCAGACAGATCGGGCTCCGTGGAGGTGGGTACTTGTCGGGAAGGGTTTCAGGAAAGGCTTCCCGCAAAGTCTTGGCTTTGCATAGAAGGATGCATAGCGTTTACCAGCTCTGCAGTGCTCTGGGCCAGGCGCTGTGCAAGGCTCTGACTGAGGAGACAGAGGTAACTGAAACACAGACCCCACACTGCCCAGCGCCCTCCCTCCCTCAGAGGAGAAAACGCAGTGGGACCGACTCCTAACACCTATGCAGAATGAGGTATGGGGGCTGAGCTCTCTCTACTCCGATAAAAAGAGCGGTCCAGTGGGAAGAATGCAGGGCTGGGTGAGATTGGGAGACCTGCTTGGCCACCGTCTGGACCTTTGACATGGGCCCACTCTGAGGCTCAGCTTTCCCCCTACTGCTTGCCCTGGCCACCTCCCAATCCTGTGAAAGCCTGAGCCTTGCCGGACCCTCATGCCTTTGCGAGGTCACTTCAGCCCCTGACTTCAAGGTTCCCCCAGATGAGCTGTCAGCCCTCATAGAGGAGGGCGTATCAGCCTTTCCTGGCCGTCCAGCTGCTAACCTAAGATGTGTCTGCCATCATTGCTCAGTTTTGTGTTTCTTTCTCAAAAGGGTGCATAGTTATATACCGTGGGGTCTGTTTAAGGGAAAATAAATTCAAATCCGGTGATTTCAGGTTCTTCATGGCCTCTCACAAGGCGGGGAAACACAGGCTGCAGCACAGAGCATGGCGGCACTGCTGAGTTTTGGAAGGTGTTACATGTGCCCGTCTGAGTCCTCTGCAGGCCCCCTTACACAGAACATGGGCATGACAGGCATTTTTGCGTCCCCTCTGTGAGGTGGAAAGAAACCTGCAGCTACTAAGTTGCAGGGCCCAGCACGCCATCAGGACTGTCTGGTCACAGAGTTCATGTACTTTCTTGTCTGTTTCTGCTGTGACTGTGCTGGGAAAGCAGGAAAAGCTCGGCTTGGTGTCTGTTTCTGCCTCCACAGGGAAGCTCCCTGCGGGATCTGCCTGTTCAGACGTCCACATGGCTTTGTGTGCTGTGAACCTGGCGGAATGTGCAGAGGAGAAAATCCCGCCCAGCACGCTGGTGGAGATCCACCTGACTGCGGCCATGGGGCTCAAGACCCGGTGTGGAGGCAAGCTGGGCTTCCTGGCGGTGAGTTCCCTTCTGCCAGCCTTCCATCTTCCCTGGGCATCTTCCCCAGCCAGGAGCTAAGATGCAAAAGTAGCTGTGGGCCCTGCCCCTGGGTGCTGACCGCCTAGAGGGGTCATTCCATAGGTGCTTAGAGCAGTGAGCAAAGCAGACCAAAATGCCCCCCTCGTGGCGCTTACCTGCATGAGCAGGACAATTTGGTGCCAGGCGATAAGATTGATTCGGTGTATAGAGTGACCCATATTTGGGAGTTAACATGGACTCTTCTGCCTTTCAAGTGGTGGTAAAAATTCTTGCAATCTTCTGGTCATGTCTTCTGGATCATTTATTTGCTCAAAAGGTACTTTGTGTTGGTCACGGCTCTGTGGATCCAGAAATGGAAGCTGGTGCAGGTCTGCAGGGAGCCCAGGCCAGGCCCTGGGTGGGAGCTGTGGTCATCAGGCGCCTCCAGTGTCTGGGGTGGATCCAGCCTTGGGAATTCGCAGGCCCTGCTATCAGCTGGCTCCCAGGCCTCCTCTTACTCCCGCAGACAGGCATGCTGTACCAGTGCCCACTTTGGGCAGGCTGCGGGGCAGTCCGCTCTGTTTAAAGCGGGGTGCTCACATCTCCGTTGGTGTTTGTACCTCAGTAAAGGCACTGAGGAGCTGAGTGTTCACTCAGCAGACGTCACTGAGCCCCTGCTCTGGGCCAGGCACTTGTATGTAGTTGTGGATTGTCCCCTCTCCGTGCTTTATAGTATTCCATTGTCGGGAGGGACTTGTAGATGGACTTTTGAGTTGTTTCCTGGTTTTGGTTATTTAAATAGTGAGTGCTGCTGTGAATGTCCCCGTTCCTCTCTGAGGGAGCACGGGACTGCATCTCTAGGAATGGCATTGCTGGGCCAGAGGCTCAACTTTAGTAGATGCTGCCGAACAGTTTTCCCCAGTGGCTGTGCCGACTTCCACTCCACCAACAACGTCCAGTTGTTCTGCATCCTCGCCCAGAAACATGACTGTGTCGGTTTTGGTTTTGTAGCCCTTCTGCTGGTATCTCCTGGTGGTTTTCATTTGAATTTCCCAGCTGATTAATGATGAGACCTTTTCATTGGCCATTTCGATGGTTTGTTGACTATTTGGGTAGTCTCTTTTGAGAAAACCCAGTCAGGTCTTTTCCCTGTTTTTGATTGGGGAGTCTGTCTTTTTATGGATCTGAGGAGATCTTTGTAATCTGGCTGCAATCCTTGTTGGATGTGTGCCTTGTGTGTGTCTTCTCCAATCTAGGGCTGCCTGTTCTCTCCCTTAGTGCTGTCGATGAATGAGCACAAGTTCTTAATGTTCATGAAATCGAGATATGAGTCTTTCCCTTTACAGTTCGGCGTTTTACGTCCTGTTTAATGAATCTGTCCTACCTAAAGTCCTGAAGGTAGTCTCCTGTATTAGCTGCTGGATGCTTTAGTTCGTACTTTTCACACCGAGGCCCATCTCCCCCTGAAATTTATTTTTGTATGAATTTAAGGTAGGGGGTTGCAAGATCTACTTTTTTTCCATATGGATATGTCCCTGTCCCAGATCTGTTCTTCAAATAGCTGTCCTTTCCTGCTGTGCCGAGGCCCCTTTTCCTAAATCAAGGGCTCGTGTGATGGGTCTGCTCTGGATGCTCTAGGACAGTGGTCGGCAAACTGGCTCGCAAGCCACAGGTGGCTCTTTGGCCCCTTGAGTGTGGCTCTTCCTAAGCCTTAGGAGCACCCTAATTAAGTTAATAACAATGTACCTACCTATATAGTTTATGTTTAAAAAATTTGGCTCTCAAAAGAAATTTCCATCATTGTACTGTTGATATTTGACTCTGTTGACTAATGAGTTTGCCGACCACTGCTCTAGTATGTTCCAGTGCCCTCACCCCACACTCCGTAATGGCCGAGTCTTACATGTCTTGACATCTGGAAACGTCAGACCTCTGGCGTTAGTGATTAGTGTTGGCTCTTCACCTTCCCATATACATTTTGAGATCATCTCGGCATCGCAGCTCCTACTGGGGTTCCTATCTTTCTTATTGCTAAGATGCAGCTGTCCTTTAAAGGGAATAAGAGAGCCTATTTGTGGGAGACGAGTGTGGCAGCTAGGGGTCGGGAAAATAGTTCCCTTGAAACTGGCCCTGCCCATGAGCTCCCCACCCCCTGCCTCCCAGAAAATACTTGGTATGTCTGACTAGCAGCAAACGGTTTGATGTGTCTTTCCTCAGAATTTTCTTTCTGTATATACTAACATGTGTGCGCTATAATTTATTTAAAATAACCATATAAGAAATCTGTTTTGCCACTTGATTCTTTTCAACCTAACGGTAAGTCTTGGGCCTCCTCTGTCACCTTCGTCTGCAGAGGCACATGGCCCCAGCACGTGTTTGTACCATTGTTGTTTGAGCCAGTTCCTACTGAGGGCCGTCAGCAGCAGCGTCAGAAGCAGTGCTGCGGGGAGTGTCCGCTCGCACTGCCTGCACCCACTTCAGGTTGCATCTCTAGAAAGCAGTGATGTTGGGTCAGAGGGTATAAATACTACACCACGAATGGTGTTGACATTTTGCGGTTTTCGAGAAGGTGAGGAGAGGGGAGGACCTGACCCTCTGGGCAAGTAACTGCCCCTTTCATCCGCTTGCTTATTTGGGGACGGGATAGATTAAAGAGGCCTAGACAGTACTTTCTTAATGAGGAAGAAGCTTTGGATTCAGTTGAACATATTTAGCAAGTGAGTGAGGCTTTGGCGGCAAGCAGAGGCCTCTGGAAATGGTTTAGGCCTGAGGTCTCCTTTCTTCCTCAGTTCATAGCACCCGTTGTGTCTGTAGTTTTTTCGTGTTTTGTCTGGGCTAACAGAAATGCCTAATAATTCTGTGGTTGGTTAGTTAGATACAAATATCTTACAGATATTTATGTTTTAATTTAGTAGCTATTAAAAAATAATACACAAAATTGAAAGGAGAAATTTTTTGTTAACCATAGTTACTTACCAGTGGGCTGTGTGTGTCTGTTGGCACCGCACACCTTCTTAGACTTCACAGTCAGATCGGATGCCACCACCTTCATTTCTTGTTGTACATCTTCTTTCACTCAGCACTTGCTTTTTATTACAACCCCCAGAAATTCGGCTTCGCAAAGATGTGACATCACCAAGGAAGGCCGTGCGATCTCGCGTTGAGATTGAACTACCTCCATCTCATGCCGAGCATTGCTGTGTTTACCTCAAAAATGTACCATCCAGTTCAGCATGCACTTCACATGCTGTGTGTTGTTTTTCGATGAAGCTTTCTTTTCACTCATCATCTCCAACAAGTGCAGTTCTAGCCAGCCGCTGGAAAATGAGAGTATAAATGTGGACAGGGAGAAAGTCCTTGGCCTTCTCTGTAAAAGGATTGGGGAAGCAGGAGAAAACAAAGGCTGGCAATAAACTGTGCCAGCCATTCCTATGAACTCATTAACATTAACTCATTTCACTGTCGCAACCATGCCATGAGTTCACTGTGGTGCTTTAGGGTGCCCTTGGCACACTATTTGAGAACCATAAGGTCACAGCCTGGAGTTGGACTGGCCCTCAGGTTATAAACAGTTCTGAGTGTCCTGCCTCCGCTGCTGGGTTTGGCAATTAGCAGATGAGTTATAGGGAGGAGGCTCCTAGGCCCTGGCTTGAGTAAGCTCTGGTGTCTATAAAATTTAGGGAAATTGTCATAGGGTGATAATGCTAAGAAAATTAAAAGAGCAATAGAAGTTATTTTCTCAATTTCCCTTCTGGAAGCCATCCTATGGATGACTATTACCCAGGATTTATATTTCTTATTAATTCAAACCACTAAACGGAAACTTCTCCTCCACCCCAACTGAGATTTGTTGTAACTAAGGTTTTTCTTTTCTTTTTAGGGAATTCAGCTTTAAAATGTATTTTAACGTAATGATTTCTAAATGGCTTCTCTGGGCTCCTCTTTCAATGCAACCCCAACAGGCTTATTTCTGCTTCTGCTGGTGGGTGACATTTGGTCCATGTCCTCAGTTTCCCCTGAGCAGCCATCCGGCAGGTACTCTCGGGAGACACTGGACAATTGGAGAGTTTCCAGCTGTTAGAAGGTTCTCCAACTTCAGGGTCCCTGGCATTGCCGCCGGCCCACCCCCAGCCTCCCTGGGAGCCTCGGCGGCTGCTCCGAGCACTGCCATTCCAAGCTCGGGTCCAAGCTCAGGTTGAGCAACCGCTCTCCTGAGGGTCAGGAGAAGGTCTGGGGATCCCTTTGCATTTGCTCTTCAGGACCCTTTTCCAGGCACGTGGTCAGAGAAGAGGAGGAAAGGCCATAGTGCCACCAGCCCGTGGTGAGAGCTTGAAGCAAACGCCCACCTGGCCTCCTGAGTGCCGTGATAATATTCGAGTGTGTCTGTAGAGCAATTTGGCCGGGTCATTTTCTCTCGGATGCAAGCGGCTGTCTCCAGACTCCCATGGAGAGGAGCTGTCTCCTCAGCCGTGTTCCTTGAGTGGCGCATTGGCGATGCTATTTCTGATCCTGACATTCAGGTCTTCTGAAGCCGCTATATTAGCTGATGGCTACTTAGAGCCCAGGAAAGGTCAGAACCATCAGACTGAGCCAGACAAGGAGACAGCTGCTCCGCTCATGGTGGGGGCCAGGGTAGAAGTGTGACATGCGGGTCTGTGGGCTGGCCCGGTGCCCTCTGTGGGCTCCTGAGCTCCCTGTGCATTGTACTCCCCCCCTTCCCACCCCCCCTTCTGCCTTCTGTGCTCATTCAGGTCGGCCTATATCAGGTGGCTTTATGGGTTAGAGATCATGGGTTTTAGACTGAAGATATCCTCACTTAGAAAACAGCAACCCTAGCCCCGTGGTTCAGTTGGTTGGGTGTCATCCTGTGACCCAAAGGTCAACGGTTCGATTCCCATTCAGGGCACATGCCCAGGGTTGCAGGCTCCATCCCCGGTGCGGGGAGTGCAGGAGACAGTCGATCGATGTTTTGCTCTCCACATCCTTGTTTCTCTCTCTCTCTCTCTCTCTCTCTCTCTCTCTCTCTCTTTCTCACACTCACTCTCTCTCCCTCCCCCTCCCCCTCCTCTCTCTCTAAAAGTCAATAAAAATATTTTTTTTAAAAAAAACATAAATGACAGAACTTCTGAAACCAAGGATAGACAGCATTGCCCCTGCGGTTCTTGTTGCTGGGGCCGTGACGTCATTACCCTGCAGGCAGAGGAGAGGCCCAAGGGGCTGGGCTGCTGGCTCTTGAATTGCCCAGCAAGGAGGCTTTCAAAGTCTTCTTGGTCTTTCCTTAAAGGCGGGCCACTGGGCCACTGGCCCTAGTTTCAGAGGTGGCATTTACTTTCAGGGTCCCAGCCCTGCCCTTGCTCTTTCCCCAGCCCACCGCCACCCCGGTGTCACACGTGGTCCTTGTCCTTCCACAGAGCTACTTCCTCAGTCGAGCCCAGAGTCTGTGTGGCCCCGAGCGCAATGCTGTCCCCGACTCGCTGCGCTGGCTCTGCCACCCCCTTGGCCAGAAGTTTTTCATGGAGCGGAGCTGGTCAGTAAAGTCAGCTGCCAAGGAGAGTCTGTACTGTGCCCAGAGGAACCCAGGTGAGAACCCTTGCAGCCACTGTGAACTGGAGAAAGACAAGACCCACCAGCACGGTGAGGTGACTGTGCCCCGGACATGTGGGGACACAGGATGTTCCAGTCTCATTTTCCCCGAAGCTTAGTGAGGTTATGAGCCTGGTCAGCAGCTAAGCTGGGTTTGCAGCTTCTGACAGCCCAAGCCCTTGCTCCGTACATCAATCAGACGTTGTTGCCCTTGTTCTGGGCTCTTTGGCGACACGGGGACGTATGGAGTGCTGTTTGCTGGCCTAGGTCCCACTGGAAAGCAGACAGACTTATATGGAGCCATTAGGGAACAGTAGGTGACAGGCGTCATCACGTGCTCAGAGGGTGCAGGGACAGGGCTCCAGGCGTCGGGAGACGCTCGCTCACTGTCCCTGGTGTTTGACAGTGATTGGAGTCGACCTGCCAGGCCTCGGAGTGGCAGGGGCTGCATGGGTTGACTCAGACTTGAGTGGCCAGTGGCTTTCTGCTCTCTGTGCTGGTCCCCTCTTTACACTGGGGGTGTGGGGAGAGGGGCATTTCCACAGGGACAGGTGTGTGTGTGTGAAACATTTTGGAGAGGAGGAGCGTCCACTATCTTGTAAAAAAAAAAATAACTTCACTACTCAATATGAGAACCAAAAAGTAAAGACGAAAGCAGAAGCCAACCTACATCTCTCAGCCCCTCCCCCCATCTGCTTTGTGCACACCTGGCCTTTCACTGGCTTTCTTACCTTTCGCAGGCTCTGGATCTAGGCCTTGTCACCTGGCATGTGTTCATAAGTGTCCTGCCTCCTTGTTCTTGTCAGGTTTAGGCTCACACATGTGTGTGAGGGGAGGGGAGGGGAGGGGCTGGTGATGCCCTGCTTTGGGCCTGCCTGGGGGCTTCCAGCTCTCAGTCAGCTGTTGCAAGTGTTGCAGGGCCCCTTATTGATTAATCAGCGCAGCCAAACCGTCGCTGGCCCCAGGTCCTGACAAGGCTGTGGAAAGCAGGAGCAGGGTCTTCCTTGTCGTTTCAAGGCAGCGGTCGCCTCCTTTTCCTCCTCAGTGGCTTCCTCCTGAGCCTCGGGGAGAACAGTGGCCTCTGAGACTTGGGGCAGCCATCTGCCTTCCCATTTTCTGTTTTCTGACAAGGCTTGCAGCCACTGGCCTTGAACAGAAGTACTGAGCTCATTGCCAAGGCAACACACACACATGCACCTGCCGCCGCACACATACACACACACGTACACACAACCCACCCACAACCATGCATGGGATAGCTATATCTTGAGTTCCTCTCCTGACCCTGTTTTCTATGTAAAGACAAAATGGGCTCATGGATAAAAACCCATTTAACCCTTCTCCTGGGCTTCCTTTTCTCCAGCCGACCCCGTGGCCCAGGTCCACCAGGCCTTCTGCAGGAACCTGCTGGAGCGAGCGGTGGAGTCCTTGGTGAAGCCTCAGGCCAAGACGAAGGCCGGAGACCAGGAGGAAGAGAGCTGGTAATGTCCGCACGTCGGCCCCACCGTGGCTGTCTGTCCGGGAAGCTCCAGGGCAGCTGTGAGGCCCGAGCTCCTGGAGGAAACGGGCCCTCACGTCGGGCCTGTAGGAAATGGAATTCCTCCTTTGTATGCATTCCTCCAACTTGGCCGCTGCCCTTCGCGCCCAGACTGAGTGTGTCCCTTTCCCCTTTCCTTTCCCCCACCCTCAGCGGAGGAGTCAGCTCTCGGAGCAGGTTGGGATGTGGTTTCCTTCGGGTGGGGAGGGCTGCCCGGTTAGGGGAGAGGAATGGAATGCGGAGAGCTCAGCAGAGGCAGCCGCCCCTGGCCGACATCTTGGGGATTCAGATCTTTACTGAAAGTTCTTAATGCTTTCATAGTTCATAGGCACAGCCTTTTCCTCGCGGGGTAGATCATTCTCGTACAAGGAAGGCCCAGGTCCTGACTGAAATGCCCCTGAGTGGGAAGGGGAGGGCATTTCTGCCCCAGAGATTAGAAAAGTTCTGGGAGGTGGTGCCATTTGAATTGGGCCTTGAGGGGAGGAGTCGGGTTTGGGGGCCAGGAAGGAAAGAAAGCCCAGCCCGACTGGCAGGCAGAGTGGAGCCGGTGTCAGTAACATGAGAAGAAGGAAGGCCTGTGGAGAGCGAGTGGCGTAGGCGCAGGGCTCAGGCTGTGCCTGGCATGGAGGAGAAGGGGCCAGAAACGGTCACTGGGTCTCAGAGCTGGAGGACGGACCAGCCAGGCTGCTAGTGTGGTCCTCGTGTTCATTCTGATGGACGTGGGGCTCTTTCTTTTCGTCCTAGTGAGTTCTCCAGTGCCCTCGAGTACCTGAAATTGCTTAATTCCTTTGTGGACTCTGTGGGGATCGTGACTCCGCCCTTCTCCTGCAGCTCCGTGCTCAAGTCCGCCCTTGGTAAGCATCTTGCAGGGTGGCTTCCCGGGCCTGGGTTGCTTAACCATCCCAGCCTCCCCAGGTAGTTGTGAGTGCACACCCTCAAGTCTTTTGGATCTGAGGTTTGTATCTACAGCTCCCCCAAAGCCCTCCCCACAGTTACCCCTGCTGGCAGCATTCTGGGGTCAGGAAATAATGATTCTCCTAGAAGTGACACGTGAATGTCTTCCCTGTGTCCTGGCCGGCAGGACATGTCAGCAACCTTCTCTAACACCCAGAACAGGACAGGCAGCAAGTGGTCCAGGGCCCAGGGGCTGGTGGGGACTCACCTTTCAGACACCTAGTCCCCCACCTCACCCCAGGCTGCCTTGGGTCTGACACTCTCTGATGAAGAGACCTTTCTGTACTGCTCCAGCTCCCCATGGCCTTGGGTGACACAGGGCAATCGCTGACTGAGTTGGCACCAGGACATTCCTTGTTTCTGTCTCTGAAATGCCAGCGGGATGATGGCACATCAGCTGCCACCTCCTGGGCTTCTGAGGCTGCTGGAAGAAAGGGGGTGAAAGAAGGATCACAGAAAACTGGCTGCCCTAGGGCAACTGCTGACCTCATGGCCTGTCTTTATTTCAGAGTTTAGAACACGCACTTAGGCCTTTTATTTTACATGTCTATTCCACTGGCATCTTGAAATCACTGGTATCATAAATTTGTAGCTGAGAAAACTAAGCCTCAGAGGAAACTACTTAAAAGGTTCTAACGCAGTGGTTCTCACCCTCTGGCCCTTTGAATACAGTTCCTCATGTTGTGACCCAACCATAAAATTATTTTTGTTGCTACTTCATAACTGTAATGTTGCTACTGTTATGAATCATAATGTAAATATCTGATATGCAGGATGGTCTTAGGTGACCCCTGTGAAAGGGTCATTTGACCGCCAAAGGGGTCGCGACCCACAGGTTGAGAACCGCTGTTCTAACATGTGCCCAGCCAGTGTTGCTTAGTGGTTGAGCATCCACCTATGAACCAGGAGGTCACACTTTGATCCCAGTCAGAGTACATGCCTTGGTTGGGGGCTTGATCCCCAGTAGGGGATGTGCAGGAGGCAACCAATCAACAATTTTCTCTTATCATTGATGTTTCTATCTCTCTCTCCCTCTCCTTTCCTCTCTGAAATTAATAAAAAATATATATACTAGAGGCCCGGTGCATGAAAATTTGTGCACTGTGGAGGGGGAGGTCCCTCAGCCAGGTCTGCACCCTCTCGCAGTCCAAGAGTCCTTGGGGGATGTCCCACTGATGGCTTAGGCCCGCTCCCCTCAGACATCCCTGTGGGAGCGCATTGATCACCAGGGGGCAGCTGTGGCCCTGCCCCCCATTGCCCCTCTGCCATCGTCGTCGCCACCCCCAGTACCTCCATCACCGTCCCCTCCCTCTGTCCACTGGCACCTGCCTTGGCTGGCTTGGCGCCGCCCACTTGCTGGCCCCGCCCCCTGCTTGCCGGTCATTCCACCGTTCAGTCAATTTGCATATTAGGCTTTTATTATATAGGATTTCTTTTTAAAAGGTTCTAACATGATCCTGTTCCTACAGGTACTTTGGAAACACCATTTGTCATGGCTGGCCATTCAGATGTTTCCAGCTCTTTATTTACAAATAATGCTACATCTTTGTTAAACTTTTTTTCTCAATTTTAGATCAATGTCTTTGTGATAAATTGCCCAAATGGGATTATCAGGTTAATAGGAGTGAACATTTTTAAGACTCTTGATACATATTGCCAAAAGGTGCTGGTGATGCTTGCACCAGAATGTGTGAGGGCAGCCCTGACTGGTGTGGCTCAGTTGGCTGAGCGTCATCCCATACCTGGGTTGTGGGCTCAAGTCCCAGTAGGGCTGTGCAGGAGGTAGTTGATCAATGTTTCTATCCCTCTCTCTCCATCTCCCTCCCTCCCTCTCTCTCTAAAATCAATAAAACATTTTTAAAAAGAAAAGAAATGTGAGAGTGCAACAGAGGCCCCGGGCCCATCACCGGAAAGTAAAGATGGCACGTGCCAGCCCTGGCTGGTGTCGCTCAGTGGCTAGAGGTCAGCCGGAGCACCAGAGGTTTCAGGTTCAATTCCTGGCCAATTCCTGTTGCAGGTTTGATCCCCAGCCCCAGTCAGGGCACGAGTGGGAGGCAACCCATTGATGTGTCTCTCCTGCATCAATGTTTCTCTCTTTCTCCCTTCCACTCTCTAAAATTCAATGAGGAAAATATCGGGTGAAAATTAACAACAACAAAAAGAATGGCACAGGGGCCTGCAAGTCCCAAGCATGGCCGGCAGTCGGCAGCGACACCTGGCCAGGGACTGCATTCCAAAAAAGCTATATAATTTATTTTTTTGGAAAAAGAAACTTTATTCAGTTATTTTGAACCACAATGATAAATTTCTGTGATGTGTATATGGTGTGGGTGGAGGGCAGCTGAAATTTCTTAGACTTGACAGGCTTGGTAAATCTGATTGTAAATTTTAATTTACCATAGACCAAAAGAAAGAAAATTACGACAAAGTCATGAACAGAGAAAACAGGAAACAATGAAATGTTTTTAAAATCAAGGTCTGGCTTCTAAGGATATGATGACTAGCTTTTCATTTGTTTCATTCGTGTATTAATAATGTCTTGGTTGTATAAAAAATATTTTTTGAGTCTGTAGGCTACTTACTTTGCTGTGGCCCAGATTGGTGTTTAGTACATGGATAAAATCAGTCTGTGCTTAAAAAAAGAAAGAGTGGCACATGCCACGTGGGGACGAGGTGCCTCCAGCAAGCTGAGAGTCACAGGTCGCTGTGGGTGATGGAGGGACATTTGGTACCATCCTCTCTCAGGTCCAGACGTCGTCTGTCGTTGGTGGACTTCTGCCATCACTATGGCCATCAGCTGGCTCCAGGGAGACGACACGGCTGTACGTGCTCATTTTACCGAAGTAGAGCGTGTCCCCAAGGCCCTGGAAGTGACCGAGTGAGTAAGCCCCTGTGACCACTTCTCCAGGCTCGCTTGTCTGGGTTAGCGGGAGGGAGTAGGTCTGGGTTGCCATCAGGGTGAAGGGTCAGGCAGTCTGGGGACCAAATGACAGATGGAGAGCTAGTGAGAGGGAGGATGAGGCTGCTTCTCTATCTGGAACCTTCTCCCTAGAAAGCCACTCATCTTGCTCCCCCAGTTCACTCAGGTCTCTGCTCAAATATCCCCTTTCCAGAGAGGCTGTCCTTGACTGCTCTTCATCCATGCCCTCTGATCCCTCTGCGCGGCCTTTCTTCATGGCCCTTGCAGCACCCTCCGTTGTGCTTCCCGCGTTTATTTCCCGTGTTTATTGTCCGGCTCCCTCGCTACAAGGGGAGTGCTGGAAGGAGGTGCTGTAGGTGGCAGCCACCCTCGCTCAGCTGCCGCTCCAGATCTGGAGCTGGGGCCCTAGAATCCCTGTGGCAGCATTTGAGTCAACAGACCTACATGTCATGGCAGTTTGGGGTGCGGTGGTCACCTGTTCGGGCTCCCCCTCACGCTCCCTCCTTCCTCTCGCCGCCCAGGAGCCCCCTGGTGAAGGCCGTCCTCCACACCTGCAGAGCCATGCACGCCTCGCTCCCTGGGAAGGCAGACGTGCAGCAGAGTGCCCTCTGCCACTGCGAGAGGGCCAGCGGTCACCTGTGGAGCAGCCTCAATGTCAGTGGGGCCACCTGCGACCCCACCCTCAATCACGTGAGTGGGGGCTTACTGGCTCCTCTGGAGGTGCCTCCTGTAGTGCAGCTGGTCAAGAGCCAGAGGCTAGGCAAGCAGCGTCCTGCCCCAAAACAGCTTGTTGGCCCAGGTGGGCTCCCTGCTTAGTCCTGGGGGCAGGCATGCTCCACCTGTACCTTTCCTTCTGGCCGGGACTCTGCGTTTGCTCCAGGCAGCTTGCACAACCCCACGTCCCTGCAGGCCAGCTTTGGAGCGGCCCCCACCCCTCCCTTGCACACAGCACGCTGAGCGCCCCGGCCGCATCCTCCTGGCGGGCAGCTGTGGTGCATTGTAGTTGCATTGCATGTTCTGGTGGCACCCATGCAATGTTTCCACAGTGCATCACGGAGGCCTGCCCAGCCCTCGAGAGACTCCCACCTGGACAGGGCCATCCCCGCAGGGACGTGCGGGAGCGGGGAGGGAGGCGTGCACACAGCTGGACGTGCAGCGTTGTGGGAGGAGCATGGTTTCGCTCCAGAGGGAGGGACGAGGTATGCCCTGGAGGGTCAGACTCTGAGCCCCTCGTAGGAGTTGGTCCGCGGCAAGCAGGCTGACACTTCTGGCTAGGGGTTGCCAGTGGTCCACAACATTGGGTGAACCCAGGACAGATGCCAGCCCTACGGGACAGGCATTGTGCAGAATGGGCCCCAGACCAAAGGCCTGTGGGGGGCCACACCTCCTTTGTGTCTTTCATCTGCTGGTCTTCAGGAGAGAACCAGTCTCTGCTGAGTTTGGGGAAGGAGAGAGGCTGCCAGCACCCTTGGGGCTATGTTTCTGGGTGGCAGCTCTGGGTGGGAGAATGGGCCCCGAAGAGGGAGACCCCATCCAGCCTCACAGCTCTCAGAATCAGTGCCAGGTGACTGCGCCGCCCATCGGTGCTCCCTGAGCTGACCCCTCAGAGCCGCCGGGTTTTGTTTGAGGGTGGCCTTCTCCTGGAGCTGCCGGGGGTTGGGCTGGGAAGGACCTGGTAAGTGCTGGGACCTCTACTCCAGCAATAGACCCATCACCCATCTCCTCCCCTGTGGCCCACCCACCCTGCAGGTGGTCCAGCTGCTGATCTCTGACCTGCTCCTGTCGCTGCGGACAGCACTCTGGCAGAAGCAGGCAGGAGCCAGCCAGGCCCTGGGCGAGACCTACCACGCGTCTGGTGCTGAGCTGGCTGGCTTCCAGCGGGACCTGGGCAGCCTGCGCAGGCTGGCACACAGTTTCTGCCCAGCCTACCGCAAGGTGAGACCCAGCTACCTGGTGGAGGAGGGCAGATTGGGGCCCCCAGGGCCCAGCACAGCACCAGCATGGGGTCAAGGAGTTGGTCCTTGGGGGTCACCCAGCTGCCTGTCAAGCACTGGTTTGGGTGCCGAGGGTTGAGCACCTGCTGTGTGCCTGGCCCTGGAGTGTGGTGAGTAGGCCACACAGGCCACAGACAGGCTGGGGGGGCAGGGCTCCCGGCCCCATCTGGAGTGGGAAGGACATGAGGGGCTCTTTGTGGTCTTCCAGCTGGCGACAGTGACAGTCTCCTCAGAACTGCAGTTACTCCTTCTTCTGAGCCACTGGGTGCTTGGGTTCTGCTGCCTAAAGCTCCGCGTAGCATCCGCTCGCGATGGCCCCAGGGTCTGACCTGTCCCAGTTGTAGGCCTGGGCTTCCTGGACTCATATCATTCCCTTGAATGTTTTACTTGCACTGCTGATTAGAGTAATGCCATCTACGTAGTTTTGCCTGGATTATTTTCAAAAAGTTCAGGTGAGGAGGCCAGAGTATTAGTGAGGGGAAGGGCTCTGAGTGCGGCCGCCCTCACCCAAGGGTGCTGAGGGGCCTCACAAAGTTACACTGTGGCCACCGTGCAGCGAGCTAGGTAGGACACAGCAGGCAAACGCAATCATCAGAGAGCTACCTTCTGGAAACAGTAAGTGTGTCCCAAGGTTCGGCTGCCCTCTGGCCTGCTCAGGGCACAGCTGTCCTGAGGCCCCCCTTACAGCACCATTGCCATCCTGCCCCAGCCACACTGGGACCCTTCCGTGGCTCCCCACTGCCTCTGGGCAGCACCTGGGACCCCCACACACACTAAGATAGTGAGGCACAAAAGAGTTTAAGAAATTAGAGACCTAGGCCTGTCCTGCACCCCCAGCTCATGACTCATTTATAGAAGAGTTGCAGACTTCCACCTGGGAACCTTCTGGATGCGAAACAGGACCCTGGACCTCCTGGTACCAGCCCAGCTGTACCCCCAGGCCCCTCCTGTCCCTGTCTCACCTGTGCTATTGCAAGCTGGAGGCAGCCTCCACGGATTTCAGGCTTCACCAGTTACTTGTCTGCCAAGCCCAGAGGCAATGGCGCTGTCTTGGTCACTGGGAGCCTTTGCCTCTCTCACTCCTCTCGCTCTTGCCCTCACCCGCTGGCCTGTGCTGTGCCCCTTGTTCCTGCCACTCCTCCAGGTCTCTGGCTTGTATTGGGTCAGAGTGAGGACAACAAGGTTGCTCTCAAAGGGTGAGCAGGGCAAGGTCGTGTGCAGAGACGGGGTGTCATCAGGTGGCAGATGAGACGCTGCAGGGAATGGCACCTGTACCTACTGGGGCACAGACCAGAGAGGACCGAGGCTTCACTGTCCCTGCCTCCCTAGGTGTTCCTGCATGAGGCCACCGTGCGTCTGATGGCAGGAGCCAGCCCCACCCGCACTCACCAGCTGCTGGAGCACAGCCTGCGGCGGCGCACTGCACAGAGCATGAAGCACGGTGAGTCCAGCGCCCCAGCCCCAGCTGGGAGGCCTGGTGTGGGCCCTGCCTGAGCAGGGAGGCGCCCGCCCAGCACTGACCCAGCAGTGTCCTCAGGGGTGGTGTGTGGAGGAGAGAAGCCCAAAGCCTGACTTGGTGGGGTTGCCTCAGAGGGTTCCTGAAGGCACGTGGGGGTCGGGTGGCTGTGGGTCCGGCCTCAGGAGCAGGGAGGGGGCCTGGGGATGTCCCAGTGCAGGAGCCAGAGTGGCAGCATGGGCCCTGGAGCCAGACTCACGGCTCTTTCTTAGTGCCAATGATAATAGCCGAGTGATGCCGGCCAAGTTCATCTCATCTCGCCTGTAAACTAGGGACCCGCCTCCCTAGGCCGTGTGAGGATGAGGAAATGAGTCCGCATCAGGCCCTGGAGTAGCACCTGCATCTTAGTGGGCTGTCAGCGAGCAGCTCCAACATCTGTCCCTCGTTTTCACAGGAGAGGTGGACGCCTGGCCCGGCCAGCGAGAGCGGGCCACTGCCATCCTGCTGGCCTGCCGCCACCTTCCCCTCTCCTTCCTCTCCTCCCCGGGCCAGCGGGCAGTGCTGCTGGCTGAGGCCGCCCGCACCCTGGAGAAGGTGGGTGACCGGCGCTCCTCCAACGACTGCCAGCAGATGATCGTCAAGCTGGGGGGTGGCACCGCCATCGCCGCCTCCTGACCACTGGGCCCTGCCCACCTTGGCCCACTGCCTCTCTGTCTCTCAGCCTCCCTGTCTCTCCTCTATCTCTGTCTCTCCCTCCTCTTTCTCTCTCTCCTCTATCTCTCAATCTCTCCTTCCTCTCCTGACTGGTTTGGGTCAGTGGTTAGAGTGTTGGCCTGAAGACCGAAGGGCTGCGGGTTTGATTCCTGGTCAAGGGCACATACCTCAGCTGCAGGCTCGATCCCAGGCCCAGTTGGGGCGAGTGTGGGAGGCAACCAATCGATGTGTCTCTCTTACATCCCTCTCTCTCTCTCCCTCCTCTCTCTCTCTCTCCCTCTCCCTCCTCTATCTCAGTCTCTCTCTCCCTCCTCCCTTTGGGGGCCAGGGGATGAGCCTTGTCTTCTGAGGTGTCACCTGCCAAGGCTGTGGGGCCACCTCAGGCCAGTAGACCCCTGAGCAAAGCCCCGGGGAGCTGATGTGGGAGACGCGGGTGGTCCTGGGCCCAGTGGCCGAGAGGAAGGATGGCAGGAAGTGGGGGACCCTGACTTAAAGCAGCAGGAGGAGCTCCAGGCAGCCCAGCCGGGCTGCAGCCCCCCAGTCCCAGGACTCTTTCTCCGTCTCCCCCTCCCTGCTTCCTTGTTTTTATCAGGCTTTCCCTCTGGGGGACACGGTGTCTGGGCACCAGAGCACTTCACCCTTGGCACGGTGCCCAGCACGCACTCTCCCCTTTTTTGTACGAATGTTTTTATATCAGTGTGCTTGGGTTTGCCGTGATTCAGGACTAAGTTGCTGTGGCATCTTTATTTCTCTCCCTGGGTCTGCGTTCCCTCCCCTGTGCCTGACAAAGCCAGTTCATTGTTTTCTCTTTATCACACAGGACAGCCAGGGAGGAGGGGAGCCCAGCCCTGGGGAGGCGGTAGGGAGGCAGGGGCCAAGCCTGGGGATGGATGAAATAATGTCGGCATTATTTTTTAATTTTTTAAAAAATAAATGGTATCTTATTTAATTGTCCTGTTCCTTCCCGTTCCCCCACCCCCTGGGATTTCGGCCCAAGCTCAGGGTGGGCCCAGGGACTGGGAGAGATGAAGCCACCACTGGGACTGGGGAAGGGTCTTCAGCGTGGGTTCTCACTCCCTCCCATCCAACTCCTACTTCCATGGCCTGTTTTTATCTCTCATTCCTCACCTGAAAATAAGCCAGGGTGGTAGGGACCAGCCCGCAGTGACAAGCCCCTTTCTGGGATGGGCACCAGGAATGAGGCCCCTGCCTTGATGGGGGTCCTGGGAGGAAAAGTGGTCCCATTTTTCTGGGTTCCCGGGCTTGGTGCGTCCTCTGAGGTGGTTTCTCCGGGGCCTGAGGACTGCTGGGCACCCCAGAGCCTGCTGGGCGTGGGGAGGAGCTGTCCTGCCTCCCTCCCTGTGCTTCCCATCCCCTCAGGTTGGTTGGGCCGGAGAGGAGGCAGGGGCCTGGCACAGGATGGGGCATGCACACAGCGGGGCCACCCTGACATAAGTGCGGGTCAGCCTGGACCGTGCCCACTTCCTTTCTCTTGCCCCCCTCCCCTCCCACTGTAATGTATGGCCCTTGTGTCACGTGTATATTCTGTGCCTTTTCTCATTGTTTAGGGGTGGGCGGGCGTGGTTTTTCACTGAAAGGGGGATACACCGATGGCAGCCTTGATATGGAATCATTCACCATGTCCTGGATGCAGGTTATTCAATAAACACCGATTGGTACCAACCAGCGTGAGGAGTGTGAGGGTCTGTAGTGTGACCGCTGTGGTGACTAGCCATCTGGCTGCATGGCTTGGCCTCCAGTGGGCCAGGGACTGAGGACACCCCTCCCTTTGTGCTGAGAGCTTCCTTCCCCCACCCATGACCTGGCCCTCCTTCCACACTGGCTGCCTGGCACACACTCCACGGCTGGGACAGGCCTGCTCATTGCATCCAGGACAGAGCTGGCTGGTTGGCTGACAGCAGCAGTTCTTGGGGATTTGGGGTGCTAGGCCCTGTGTTCACCCCTCTCACATACATCTCTCCCTTACTGGGTGGCTGCCCCTCAGTTTCCCATCCTCCCTAGGGGCAGTGAGACAGACTCATGGGCCCACGAGTCACATCCAAGTCCAGCTCCTCTAATCCCGGCTGGGTCACCTTGGGTCACCTCAGCCTCCACTTGGACGCATGCAGAATGGGATGACATCCCTGCCTTTGGCTACAGTCCCCATAGGTTTGTTAGCTGGTTTGAAAGTGTCAGTTTACAGTAGGCACCTTGTGAGGCTGGTGAGGGGCCAGACCACAGGGAGTGGTGGGGGCCGGAGAGCTGAGCCCATTGGAGATGGAGTGCTGTGCGGTCATGAGCCGGGGGCCTGAAGCTCATGGTCACCCAGCCTGGCTGAGAAATGGGCCCAGGCCCCTCAGCTCTCAGCTACTGTCTCTGAAGCAGTCACAGCAGGCCACACTGTCCCAAGGGGAGGAGGGGCTCAGCTGCAGCTGGTCCCTGCCCACAGTTCTCAAAGCAGCATTCCCACTGGTGGTCGTGCCCATGGCCACACCCTGGCCCCTGGGATGGAGGTCCAGGGTCCTTGGGACCTCGAAGGAGCGGTTAGAGGCCATCTCCCCCAGCACAGCCAGGGCCTGTCCCCAGGTGGGTGATCGTGGGTGGCCAATGCGCCCAGGAATCTGATCCTTTTCTGTGGTTCTGGGCTGGCTCAGTACCCACCCCACCTCCCCTGGCTCCACACAGCTCAGGAGAGGCCCTGGAGCACCCCACCCCCACTCTGGGTTGAGGGTGTGAAGCTGTCGGGGCCCTCACAGCAGGCAGGACATGGGCTCTAGGCTCTGCTCTTGGGGCCTCTGGGTCTTGGTTTCCTCAACAGCCTTTAGACTGAGGTGGACCAGCCTGCAGGGGAAGAGCTGCTGGGTTTGGCGCCTCAGAGCAGCCCAGCCAGTGGGAAGAAGGTCTGAGACTGCATGTACCCTGGGGCCCCTCTCCACCAACACATGCTCATAGCCTCCCCTCCTCCTGCCCACCGCCTGCCATGCCACCATCGGGCCAGTGGCAGAGAATATGGAGGAGCCAGAAACAAGTCAGCTGGGGGACCTTGGCAAGCTACTTAGGTCTCAAAACCTCAGTTTTCCTTATTGTAAAGCCATACACCCACGGAGCTTCTGTGAGATCTAAATGAAAGAAATGGCAACAAACGGGGGCCATTTTTATTAAAACAGTATCCCATGCCTAGGGTACACAGAGGGCAAAGGCCCAACTGGGTGGCTTTGTTGAGGTCACACAAGGGGCACAGCCCAACCCTCAGCCTCCCCAATAGTACCTGTCACAGAAAGCCGATGCGCACAGGCTGCTGGCACTGCCCTGGGCCACAGCCAGGTGCCTGGAGCCTGCCTGGCAGGAAAGGGGAGAGCTGGCAGTGCCAAGCATGTGTGGTGTGAGCACCCCTGTGGGGGCACTGCCAGGGCTCAGGGTCCAGCATCACCATCCCTTTTCCCTCCAGAGCAGCTACTGGGTGGAGGCTCTGCCACCCTGAGCACCAGCTGTCCACCGGGCCCACTGCCCACACCCATTAGGGGGGTGGCTCTGGGCCAAGCTGACCAAGTGGCCTGCAGGCCAGGGGCCGGCCCAGCGCCAGACAATGGCAATGAAGATCAGCCTGGCCCGGCCAACTCAAGCTGCAGAGTGGGTGGTCGCTGGAGGGGGTGCTCACCTTCCGTCAGGGGCAGGGACCCTCCAGCCCGCACCTGTGCGGGAGCCTCAAGATGGCTAATGCCTCTCCCTGGGCCCACTGGTGTTGGCATTCAGCCCTTACCACCCGCTCCAGCCACTTCTCCCCATAGCTCTGGGGAACAGTCCTGCTCTTGCATATGCTGTGCCCTCTGCCCGCACTGCCGTCTGTCCAGCCAGTGACCAGTACCTGCCACCAGCCCCTCAGAGCCAAGCTGGGGCTCCTTTATTCTCAGGGATGGGAGCCACAGAAAAGGGTTTATTTACATGCGGAACCCGCGCCCCAGGATGCCCAGGACAGGCCCCTTCTTAGCCCCACAGGCTCCAAGGCCCCCAGTCCAGCCTGGGCTGGCGGAAGGGCTGGACTTAGGTGGAGGGCGCCCCTAGCCCCCGACCAGGCTGATGGCGGATCCTTGGTAGAGGGAATGCTTCGAAGAACCAGCAGCCCCGTCTTCATACGGTGACCTCTGCTTTGCTGTTGGTGCTCAGGTGTCCACGCACCGCGCAACTGTACAGGCCAGGGGGCTGCGGGCGGAAGGCCTTGGGCAGCTTCTCCACGCGCCGGGGGTGGCCCG